GGATGTGGGGATGTGGGGATGTGGGGATGGGGTCCCAGCAGGAGATGAAGATGTTGGGATGTGGGGATGGGGTCCCACCAGGACATGAGGATATGAGGACATTGGGATGGGGTCCCAGCAGGAAATGGGGATGTGGGGATGTTGGGATGTTGGGAGGGGGTCCCAGCAGGAGATGGGGATGTGGGGATGGAGTTATATCAGGAAATGGGGATGTTGGGATGGGGTCCCACCTGGAGATGGGGATGTAGGGATGTTGGGACGGGATCCCAGCAGGAGATGAAGATGTGGGGATGTTGGGATGGGGTCCCACCTGGAGCTGGGGATGTGGGGATGAAGTTATATCAGGAAATGGGGATGTGGGGATGGGGTTTCATCAGGAGATGGGGATGTGGGTATGTTAGGATGTTGGGATGTGGGGATGGGGTCCAAGCAGGAGATGGGGATGAAGTTATTTCAGGAAATGGGAATGTGGGGATGGAGTCCCACAAGGACATGAGAATATGAGGACATTGGGACGGGACCCCACCAGGAGATGGGGATGTGGGGATGTTGGGATGTTGGAATGTGGGGATGGGGTCCCAGCAGCAAATGGGGATGTAGGGATGGGGTTATATCAGGAAATGGAGATGGGGGGTCCCAGCAGGAGATGGGGACGTGGGGATGATGGGGACGTGGGGATGATGGGGACGTGGGGATGATGGGGACGTGGGGATGGGGTCCCACCGGCTGATTTGTGGGCGGGGGGCTCGGGGTTACCTTCGGAGTGGTGGGACAGGATGAGGAGGCTGACGCAGGCGGCGCCGGCGCCGGACCCAAAGATGGTGATGCGCTGTGGGTCGCCCCCAAAGTGCCCCACGTTCTCATTGAGCCAACGCAGAGCCTGGATTTGGTCCAGCAGGCCGTAGTTGCCCTTGGCCGCCTGGTCCCCCGTGCTCAGGAAACCTATGGGGAGAAATGGGGGGGATGTGGGGATGGGTGGGGGGCTCCTGGAGCTCGTGGTGGTCACCTGTGGGGTCCTACGGCCCCAGTGGGACGCCCCATGGTGACCCCAGACCCACATTTATGGGATGCTGCAGGGTAATCCCAGACCCACACCCATGGGAAACCCCATGGTGACCCCAGACCCACATTTATGGGACGCCTCATGGCACCCCCAAATCCCCCACCCCCCCT